GTTATATCGACAGATGGTACCACCCAAATTTCAATCATTTGAGGTAATATTAAGTTTGCAATTTGTTATAAAGTCGGTTTCGAATACTGTAGACCGACTCGTTCTTGTTTCACATCCTTTGGGATGAATGATGTTTCATTAATCCTTCCTTTAATTTCCACTTTTTCCTCATCTTCCCATTGTTCCAATAAAAAATGGTGAATAGGCTATTCTCGGATTTTCTGTGAGCTTTGTGTATACCACAACTCAAACAATCAGTTGATTAAGACAAGCAACGAAAATGCTTGTGTTCCTATTCCGAAATTTCAAATAAGACTTAACTACAAAGACAACTAATCTCCCAAAATATTGTTTACACCAGGCTTCTCTAGTGGTCGGTGTTTGCTTAATTGTATATGATGGCGGTGAACGAAGTAATCCGTAAATACGTTCCGCAATTATTTAAATATTCTTAATGATTCTTCTGCAAAGAAGAACTCGGGCTGAAAGCTACGCAAGAACTTAGTGAACACTTTGAAATGATAATGCAAGTCCAGCTTACCCGTCTTTCTTAGAAATTCGTTAAAAATATTTATGCGTATACTGCAGGACGGCGAGCCTGAGTTTATTCAAGAAAATACAATGCAACACGTAAGTTTTAAATATCGAAAAAAGTTACACCCTTACAATTTATCAAACATTTTTGTTGTTACCACTTGACGAGGTAAGAACAAAGTGACGATCGCACATTCAGCTTCAAAAACTTCCGATCTAAAATATTCAGAAAATTTTTATTTTTTTAATAAAAAATGAACTTTAATGTTTTTAATTAGTTTTGTAATCGGCACAAAGCTGAACAAAAAAAATCAAGTTTTGCTTCTAAAAAAATAAAGCTTAATTTTATTAACGTAAATAATAATTGTAACTAAATTTAATATCAGAATTTATTAAAGTGTAAGGTTCGATCGTCACATTATTATTATATTTGTTTGAACATTTAATAGCTTCCTAGAAACAAACAAGAATTTAATTAAATTAATATTAAAAAAATATAACTTTTCTTGAAATTCATTTGAAAATACTTTACGTTGTTACGTTACGTTTTAAATTTTATAATAATCGGACATCAATATCATATAGCTGTAATAGAAACGATCGAAAAATACACCAAATGCTAACTCCATTATTGTTATTAACAGCTTGGGCTAGTCGAAGTTCGATTTAATTTTTTTTTGTTAATTTAAACATTAATTTATATTTTGTGGGTAAGTCGGTTTTAATTTGTACAGGAGACATAAAAACATAATTTTTTCTTTGATATTATGAAAAACTCTTTTTTGTCCCTTGATCACAAAAAAAATAATTTTTTTCCTAATACTATTGCTTATATTTCCATTTTACTAACAAAAGCTCCAATAAGAATGTTTCATAATCAAATTGAACTTTCATAGATTTCTGCTCATTGAAATAAGCATAAAATGCTGATAATAAAGATCTGAATTGTGTTGAATTTTCAAACGCCTCAATCAATGTAAATGTGTTATATGTATATCAAAAGTTAATAGTCTTGAAACCTATAAAACCTAATTTGGCTTTTAGTTCCGTAGTTATTTGAATAAATAACTAACACTCTATATTAGTGTTGGTGTATCGGATTGACAGGATTGAGGTGTGGACAGAAAATTAAACATTTCACAAAAGTCATAATTTCCAATATATAATTTCCACAATTCACCCAAACCAATTTACTTTCTAAAAGTCTTATTATGCACGACTTTTGATTGAAATGTAATTTTTCCAGTCGCCCACACTGATTGAAAGTTCACAAAAGTACATTATTTTTAAAACTTTCTTCTTTCATTAGCGTAAAAATAAATTAAATATTTTAGCCGTTAAATTTAGATGTAAAATTAAGCAGTAGATTGATGTTGACGACTTCGATGTTTTATAAATATAGTGGCTCCATCGCATAATGGGACAACTATTTGCATAAGATAAATATGCCTCAAAACTACACTAAATGAGCTAAAATGTTGTTAATTTTAAGTTTACACTCATATATTTCTGATAATCAATAAAAATCCTAAATATTCAATTAAAATCACTCTTCTGTAGAACTTCGACAGTTAATTGTGAAACTCAATTTTGAAGGGAAAACTGTTAGAGAAATTGCTAAATTGGTCGGAAAAAACAAGTCTATTGTCCATGACATAATCAAAAGAATCCGTGATGAATTCAGACCGGCCAATAAAAGCAGAGAAGGTCAAAACAAGATACAACATGACCGAGAAGAGCGATCAGTTTTAAAGGAAATTAAGCAAGATCAATTCAAAACCGGCAAAGAACTGAAAATTTCTTTAAAAACCCGAACTGGTAAATAAGTTCGCTTGAATACTGTGCGTTATAATCTGCATAAATTTGATTACAATTGCAGAATTGCCAAAAACAGCCTTTTATTAGCCGAAAAAAAATGCAGAGTTAAATTTGCAAAGGAATTTACATGTGCTGAAAAGAGGAAAAACTTATACGGGTATGAGATTACATTGTTCGCCTCATTCATTGTTGGATTCATTAAAGCTCAGAGACAGAGACAACTATTTGGATACTGCTTGAGATTTTCTGGTAATAAGTTCACGGTCACTCTGCCTTTTTCACATAAATTCAAACTTTGTTGTTTTGCTTATCATATTGTGTTTATCCCGCTTATTTTAACGTTGGAAGGTTTTCAGTTGTTACCTTGAAATGGTAAAAAAATAGTTTTTTATACATTTAAGCCTCGCTTTTTACATCATTTATGTCGTCAACTCCAAAATTGTACTTCTTAAATACAATTTTTGCCCATTGATGTATCGGCCCCGGTGGTATTTTACCGAATGATATTTTTTTCACCCAATTCCGTCTAGTGTTTTTACTATCGGTTATCGGGTTCTGTCAATTTTCTTCATTCATTGCTCATTGGAATTGTCATACACTAGTCCTAGTCGGCATAATTATTTTGACGAAAAACTAATGGTTCAAATTTGTATTTAACTTTTTAATGGTTTAATATAACTCAATGATTTTTTTTTTCTGTTTTACTTAGTGCTAATACAAACTTAAAAATAATGAATTCAACATTTTGTCATATGAACTTAAAAAATATAAGCTAAAGTAATTTTCATGTGGTGGCATAAGTATTTTGACAAGTACCTTTTAATATGAATAATAAAGCTTAAACCAAATAAAAACCAAAGGGAAAAAATAATTTAGTAAAATATATAATTTCCTTTGGTTTCAACAAATTTTGCAAGCGTCGCGGTACTGAATCGACTAAATTTTGGATAATCTCTAGAGATATCTCTTCCCAAAGGGAAGTGACCTCAGAAATTGTCTCCTCTCTGGTTTTATTCAACGATACTGTTCTTTTACGTTTTATAAGAGACCAGACGTTTTCAATTATATTTAAATCTGGACTTTAGGTGGCCAGTCCAAAGTGGTAACACCAACATCCTTCAAAATGTTGTAATTATTTTGGCTTTGTGACATGGGGCGTTATCCTGTTGCAAAATGAAGGTGTGTCCAATAAGCCTGTCTCCGGAACTAAACGCATTATCATTTAGAACCCGCAAATACTGGCCTTGGTTCATCGAGCCAGTGACAGGAACGAGGTCACCCAGTCCATTATAGCCACACATCCCCAGAACATCACAGAGCCTCCACCATGGCTTACTTTTTGGCAAACGGGCCGCCGTTTCTGCCTTTTGGAGATTGGTAATCTTACAAAAATTTATTTTTTGATGAATTATACTCAAAGGAACTTTCATCTGTCCATAGAACGCTTCTCCAGAACTCCTTTGGCTTATGAAGATGTTCCTTTGCGAAAGACAGTCTTTTCAGCTTGTTTTTTTCTGTTATATATGGTACGTCCTTGGCTTTATAAGTCTTAAAATCGCATTCTTTTAATCGCCGACGGACTGTGCGCTCACTAATCGGTGTCTTAGCTGTCAAATTAAATTGATCTGCTGCGGATTGGGGCTTTAAAAAAATATTCTTTTTAAATTCCCATACAAGGACTCGGTCTTCACTGAGATCTGTTTTGCGCTTAGCACCATTATGCTTTTTAAACTTTTTAATTTGGTAGTGCACAGTTTGACGCGACACACAAAACTCATTGGCAATGTCTTTGACTGCTATTCCAGCGTTAAACTTTGCTACTATTGAAGATCTGGTAACCAAACTTAGCTCAGCCGTTTTACCCATGTTATTGACTGATTTTTAATAACTTTCTGTTTTAATAACAACGTTTAATATTACTCCAAATGAAACACAGAAGTTCATTGGTTCTCGCGTGCTTAAAAGTTTGAAAATATTTCCATAAAGATGCTGTCAAAATACTTGTGCCACGTAGAAAACCGTTGACCACATGCATTCTTATCAGTAAAAATTGAATGCAAAAGGTAAAGGAAATAAAATTTGGCATGCACATAGGTAAAAATATATTCTTTGTTTTGCGCCTCATTTCCAGCAACGCTAAGTTCAATAGTCAAAAAGAGTTGTTTCGTCAAAATAATTATGCCGACTAGTGTACGTAAAATCGTATAGCTTTAAAAAATTATCAATGAATGAGGCCAGCAATGTAGTGTCATAAGCCCATTAATAAAATCAGAAATTCATTTTTGTTATTGGAACTAGTTTATTGAAGGTTCAATTTACCGATGAAAGTAAATTTAATTTAGATGGAAGAGGTTCTGTGATGGTTTGGGGCTGCATAGGCCCATTACATTTTATAGATGGTATAATGGATAAATTTGGGTACCTTAAAATTTTAAAACCAAATTGAAGCCAAGTGTTAAAAATTGGATATCGAAAACAACTTGCCTTTTACCAAGAAAACGATACCGAGCACACTTAGGGTGTTGCAAACCTTTGGTTGGCCTATAACATGTGCATAAAGTTAGCAGAACAACTTTTGAAATTTAATTTTTTTCTTATCGATCGTTATTTATCCGTAAATTATTCGTGAAAGAAAAAATTTGCCGCTCATTTTTTTTTAAATTTTTCCTAATACTATTGCTTATATTTCCATTTTACTTACAAAAGCTCCAATAAGAATGTTTCATAATCAAATTGAACTTTCATAGATTTCTGCTCATTGAAATAAGCATAAAATGCTGATAATAAAGATCTGAATTGTGTTGAATTTTCAAACGCCTCAATCAATGTAAATGTGTTATATATCAAAAGTTAATAGTCTTGAAACCTATAAAAACCTAATTTGGCTTTTAGTTCCGTAGTTATTTGAATAAATAACTAACACTCTATATTATTTGAACGGAGTATCGGATTGACAGGATTGAGGTGTGGACAGAAAATTAAACATTTCACAAAAAGTCATAATTTCCAATATATAATTTCCACAATTCACCCAAACCAATTTACTTTCTAAAAGTCTTATTATGCACGACTTTTGATTGAAATGTAATTTTTCAAGTCGCCCACACTGATTGAAAGTTCACAAAAGTACATTATTTTTAAAACTTTCTTCTTTCATTAGCGTAAAAAATAAATTAAATATTTTAGCCGTTAAATTTAGATGTAAAATTAAGCAGTAGATTGATGTTGACGACTTCGATGTTTTATAAATATAGTGGCTCCATCGCATAATGGGACAA